ATATTCTGACCGGGTAATTTGTATGAATTTTATGAGCTAAAACAAATATCTTCATTTAATAAAAAAAATAATAATCTTCACAACACTATCTGTCAATCAAAGTACCCCACCTTGCCTCCCCCCCTCTTCCAACCGTGCGGTCAGTCCCAACCCTCCCCCCCACCCCCCACCAATCCTCCCTTCCAGGGTTTTTAACATTTAGTATTAAATAATACCTCAGATTAAAGTTAGGATAATATAATTGACATTGCTGGATTCCTTGTAAGACCAGGAATATTTTGAATACAAATGTCATATATTTTGCACAAAAGATAACATATTTACTCAGAGGAAACATTATATCAAAAATTTGTATGTCTAATGCAAAATCTATGATGTTTATATTCAAAATGATCATCAAATTGTAAGAATTCCAGCAATGTAAATTATATTCTGCCCGGGTACTTTGTATGAATTTTATGAGCTAAAACAAATATCTTCAGTTAATAAAAAAAAAAATGTTCTTCACCACACTATCTGTCAATCAAAGTACCCCACCTTGCCTCCCCACCTCTTCCAACCGCCAGATGGTCAGTCTGTCCCAACCCTCCCCCCCCCACCCCCCACCAATCCTCCCTTCAAGAGAAAGGTTGGCTGAAAAAACTAGATTTTAACATTTAGTATTAAATAATACCTCAGATTAAAGTTAGGATAATATAATTGACATTGCTGGATTCCTTGTAAAACCAGGAATATTTTGAATATAAATGTCATATATTTTGCACAAAAGATAACATGTTTACTCAGAGTAAACATTATATCTAAAATTTGTATGTCTAATGCAAAATATATGATGTTTATATTCAAAATGATCATCAAATTGTAAGAATTCCAGCAATGTAAATTATATTCTGGCCGGGTAATTTGTATGAATTTTATGAGCTAAAACAAATATCTTCAGTTAATAAAAAAAAAATATTCTTCACACCATGGTGCCAGGTGGTCGCCGGTCCCTCCCTCCCTCCCACCCCCCACCATCCCTTCCTCCCTACCAGATGAATGTGTGGGAATACCAGACTGTTTACCTTTTTAGTAATAGATAATAAATCAGACTAAAGTTAGGATAATATAATTGACATTGCTGGATTCCTTGTAAGACCAGGAACATTTTGAATATAAATGTCATATAATTTGCAGAAAAGATAACATATTTACTCAGAGTAAACATTATATCTAAAATTTGTATGTCTAATGCAAAATCTATGATGTTTATATTCAAAATGATCATCAAATTGTAAGAATTCCAGCAATGTAAATTATATTCTGGCCAGATAATTTGTATGAATTTTATGAGCTAAATAAAAAAATTATACTTCACCCGTGTAAAGGGGTACACCCACCGCGGAATGTGAGCATCCTGGGTTCTGGCAGGGCACCCGTAACCGTGGAAACGCGGAATGTGGGACCGCGTAAAGTGAGGGTTGACTACATATATATATATATATATATATATATATATATATATATATATATATATATATATATATATATATATATATATATATATATATATATATATATATATATATATATATATATATATATATATATATATATATATATATATATATATATATATATATATATATATATATATATATATATATATATATATATATATATATATATATATATATATATATATATACATATATATATATATATATATATACAATGTGGGTATGCTATAAATCTAGGATCCTACTACTAATATTCCTATAACGAACGGTTTTACCTATAAAATTGAGAATGCTATAACGAACGAAACTCCTACAACGATTTTTTTTTTTTTTTTACTAATTTATTTTTTTTTATTACAAGTATTAATGATATTCTTTATTTCAGGGGTTTAGACGCATATGTATGCACTTTTTTTACAATTTTATATTATATTTTTCAGTGTTAAGTGGTTGTATTTGGGGGCCTGGAACGGATTAATCCTATAACGAACGAATGCTATAACGAACAAGGTTCTAGAACCAATTAGATTCGTTATAGCATACCCCACTGTATATATACACCTTCCATAAGATTCTTCACTTCGGTTAACGAGCAAACCCTCGGTTAACGAATTCCTTACAAATTTTTCCCAACATGTTTTCGCCTGCATTTGGCTGCCCACCAGCTGTAGTATTAGTCCGCCAATACAGTAATCAGTTCTAAGGCTTAAATTCCTTACCAATTTAGTAAATATCAAGAAGGTTGTACAATTCAATAATTTTAAAAGTTTTATATTAAATTTTTTAGTCATTTTAACAATTATTGAACATAATTGAAGTACAGGAAGCTAGATTTTTGCGTGCCAAACAGCCACTCAACACACCAAGCTTGGCGCCAGTTTGTTTACCAATTCAGAGGAAGGAACATCTTGTTTGAGACTCTTCAACATAAATGCTTTTTTTCTGTGTTTCCAGTCAAATTATTGGTCATTTTGAAATATATTTTACATGATAATATATAGCACAGTGCAGTGTTGATTTAAAGAAAATAATCTTGAATTACATCAAGTGAACTAAAATTTTATGGGTGAAATGGTGGCATGGGATGACTTCTCTTCCACCCCAATGCCTTTTCTTCTCCCTTCTCCTCATTATTATTATTATTATTACCTGTATTATTATAATTATTATTACTATTACATTTTCACCCCCCAGGCCCCGATGTGGGTCAGTGACATGTGCCCGGGTGGGCTAATACCATAAAAAATAAAATAAAATAAAATAAAAATAAATAAATAAATAAATAAATAAATAAATAAATAAAAAATTGCTCCCCCAACAAATTTCGGTTTTCAGAGCTTTTCGGTTTTCGGAATTTCGGATAAAGGGTTGTCAACCTGTAATGTAATCATAAAGATTATTACTACTAATGATGAAGATAATGATAATAATGAAGTATTCTGTACAACAAGTGTGACGATGTCCAGCAAGCAGCTTCCAGCGCATCGCTTTCTCAGTTCACACCAGCACTAATTTTTCTCTGTGCTCTCATTTGCATTGTGTGTTTATCATGTACCTTTTTAGTGTTAAACGCTGTTTTCCCCATTGAGCATGTCTGGAAAATGTCCATCTGCCTCCTCTGGGGTGCCTAAAGCTAAAAAGGCACGAAAAACAATCACAATGGAAGTGAAATTAAATGTTATCACCCGCCTTCAGAGAGGAGAGAGTTTTTTTTTACGGGAATTAGTCCACCCGGGCACAGGTCAAACAACCCACAATGGAGCCTGGGGGGTGAAAAAATAAGAACAGAAAGAAATTGAATATAGAGAAGAAAAAGGTTATACTGTGTTAATCTCCACCACGAAGATGCCGGAAAACCAGCTTTTTAAAGTGAGACAGATTACATAAGTGTGGAAACACAGGAGAAGGCAGAGCATTCCACAGTTTGGCTGTGTGAGGAAAGAAGGAGGCACTATAACGGGTTATTCTCGTGGTATTCTCGTGAGACCGACATCCACAGAGAAACGGTGGGCACCGCTGGCAAGACGTGTGTTACGAGACCACGGCCTTGCTGGCGGTACACAGGATGCCAAAACCACCGAACAATGCCCGTTAAAGTACCTGTAAAAGAGAGAGTGAAGCAACATTGCGGCGAAGAGAAAGGGAAGAGAGATTGACGACTAAGGGAGGAGAGTTAATAAGACGAAATGCCTTTGATTTCACCCTATCTAATAGTTGGACAGAAGAAGAGCCACCCCAGATATGAGAGCAGTATTCCAAGTTAGGACAAATGAATCCGTTATATACTTGGAGCAACTGCTCAGAAGTGAAGTAGCTACGGCATCTGTACAGCATTCCCAACTTTCTTTAGGCAGCTTTAGCTATATTAAGGATGTGTGATTTCCAGGATAAATTGGAGGAAATGGTGAGGCCTAACATATTTATTTCAGAATTTGGCAGGATGATAGCGTCCTGAAATGTAATTGGTGGGAGATCGTCTAATATAGAAAGTGTAATTGGTAAATATTGAGTTTTATTACTATTAAATTTAGCCAAGTTTGTACCTCCCCATTCAGAGATGCTGCAAAGATCCACATTGATAGAAGTAATGATATCAGCTCTAGAAACAGATTTAGTTTGAGAGTTAGGAGGAAGGGGAAAATGTGAAGAAGAATGAAGAGTAGAATCATAAGTGTAAGAATGGATAGAATTAGTTGTAGTGTAAAATAAATCATTGACAAAAAGAAGGAAAAGAGTAGGTTGGCCGTGTGCTTGGTTTAAGTGAGAGCACTGTTCATACCCTGTGTGGTATATGATGGTTCCCCTCACCTGTACCATTTACATGTATTCTTATTGGAAAATTATGTTTAATTTACACATTTTTTAATTAAACAGTGGTTTTCAAGAACGTAACCCCTGCAAAAAACGAGAGGTGGGTGTAGTTTGAATATGTGAGGTTAAATTTCCTTATGAATCAATCAATCAGAGCACTGTCCTCATATCTGAGGGTTGGCAACCACATTCCTCCACTCTAAATATCCTCAAGCTGTTTTTACCAATTCTCCAAGGTTTTGTATCTCTCTGGGGACCTAGTTTTTAATTTAATTCACCCAATCCAGTTTCTGACTTCCCTAGGCCCTCTACCCTCAACTTTGCCTATTAATATTTCTGTTATTATCCCCTCATTCCTAATCATATGATCAAAGTATCACATTTTTCTTTTTCTGTATATTTCGAGTAATTTTCCTGAAATATTAAATCTTTAAAAATAATTGTGGCTTTCATAAACATTAGAAATGAAGATTCCTTTTAAAACTGCTTAGAATATACTTAAAATTTCCAAGGGACATCAAGTCAACTTTGCAGGAACATCAGTATATGCACAAAAAAAGAAAAAAAGGATCACAAACATTACAATTTTAAAATCAAACTTGACTTAGGAAACATAATACGATAAGAGTAACAACGAAACATGGACATGCTATTCAGGTGGAAATTATATCAACATATAATAAGACTTACAGCCATAAGAGTTATTCCTGCAGCTTTGTGCTGGGGGCCGTTTGTGTCAAAGTGAAGATCCAGTTTATGGGATACTCGAAGGTGGAGGTTTCTGTCTAAAGCCTCATCATCCTGGTGGAAGAAGTGGTTATTAGAGAATAAGATAATGTAGCATTACTGAGTAATGGAGGGAATAATACTGCAATGAGTAATTTTCGTTAACACTTAGGCCCCGGGTGACGTTCCAGAACGTCCGACTAGTGCGCCCCGGGTGACGTTCCAGAACGTCTTTCATAATATCTTTCATAAGGGCTCGAATGAATTTCGAACTGAACAATCCACACGCAGGGCTACCAATGTGAGCTATGCCTCATGGGCCTTCATCAAAAACCTTGTTCGTGGTGTCATTTTGTTTCGTACAACTGAAAATTGTAATTTACAAATTATATAATACTGTACAATAGTTCATTTGATTTAATGTGTTTAGAGGAAATAATTATGGTAAGTTCGGTTGAATTTTTACAATACTGTACAGTAGAACAGAGAAAGGTTCCAAGAGAGGTCACTTTAAACTGAATTAGCACTAAATCGAAATGTTGTTTCAATGGAATAATTTAGTTTGGTATTTGAGAGAAACACAAAATACTAAAAAAGGCTGAGAGTTTACCCAGATGCACCTCAGCCCATCTCCTAGAATAACCAAAACATTGTTTTTTGCAGTATTATGTTAAAACAAACACTCATAAATCAACACAGCTAAAATTAAGGGATGTGAAATGGTCTGTTTACTGTCTGGGAAGATGAGGGGGAGGGAGGGAGGGAGGTGAGGTGATAAGTTTGACAGTTGATGCCAAGGTCTAGTGCTTATTTATTTATCAGTCCTTAAGAGTGACAAGTTTATCTCTTATAAAATGTCACTGACCTGACATGGGAGAATATAATTAACATTGCTGGAATTCTTATAAGATAGCGATTAATTTGAATATAAACATGTTATAGCTCGCATTAGACATAAAAATTTTAGTTCTAATTTAAGAATTTTATGACAAAGAGCAAAAATTTTTATCTCTTGTGCAAAATATATGACGTTTATATTCAAATTATTCGCTGTCTTGCAAGGATTCCAGCAATACAAATTATATTTTCCTAACTTTAGTCTGTGACATTATATAAGATAAAATCTTTAAGCCTAAAACACCAAATCCTGGCTGGGAAGATGGGAGGGAGGTGACAGTGACACGTTTGACAGTTGGTGCTGAAGGTCTAGTGAAGTATTTATTTGTTTATTTATGTCCTTTAGCTTGAGTTTATGTATTTTGCTTATAAAATGTCACAGAAGTGACCAGGGAGAATATAAATTACATTGCTGGAATTCTTAAAATAGTGATTAATTTGAATGTAAACATGCTATAGTTTACACTAGACAAAAATTTTAGTAATCATTTAGTACATTATTTTGAGTACTGTACATGTACAGTACAGCTTTGCCCTTAGGACAGTGTAGCGTGCCCAGAGAAACATTAGACGCAAACTTTTAAATATGATGCGCCAGATTGACTCGCGCAAAATAGGAAAGATTCGCTTTAAATTAAAACATTGTCCTTAATTGTGGGTGTCGCTTTAAATCAATATGTAATCTTAAATTGAATCGCTTTAAATCGACATTCTACTGTACAGTGCCATACAAAATGTGCATTCTAAATGGTTGAGAATGGGTGAGAAGGATCTCCTCCCATTAACAGATACCTCCCAAAAAGCAGACAGGGCTTGCACGAATTAGGCCATTATTGGGAGGGTTTACCGTACTAGTTACTTATTTCTTCATTACTGGAACTTTATGACTAGCAGGGGAGTGCAATCCAACATTGACTTTTAATTTCTAAAAATAAAAAATAAAAATCAATTCCATGCATGTGGTGAACAACATTCTGAAGTTATTGTACTCTAAACAAAATAGTAGTGACTTACCGAGACCCAAGGATGATCGAGGACCTCTTGTGCACTGAAACGCTTTTCTTGATCCACTTGAATCATGTGAACAATCAATTCACGGGCAGAATCAGATATATCATCCCAGTAAGGACTATGAAATTCATAATGCCCACGTAATATTTGATCAAAGAGTTCTTCTTGGTTGTTTGTAGCCGAGACAAATGGTGGAAATCCACACAGAAGAATGTATGTGATGACACCAGTTGCCCAAATGTCAACCTGTTAAGAATATACTTATAGTAAAAAGAGGTATACAAATCATCTTATTGCAGATAAACTCCAGACAATTCAAGAATAATGATTGTGGAAGGAAATGCAGAAAAATAATTTAATCATAATGTCTCCTAAAAATATTATGAACTGAACCTGAAATGACATATCATAACTGGGGATGAGTAAACGGTCCTGTAATACACTAACTGGGTCTGTAGCTGCATTCCCAATGTGTTTAACTATAGCCAAGAAAAAAGTTCCTGAAAAAAAATGGATTAACCTGGCAAACCATTCTCCATTTTCACTTGATAATAAAAATTGGGACTACAGTAAAAAAATCCATAAATCGAAATAATAGGGGCTCTAACTCATGAATTTTGAGATTTCATAAAATACTATGAAGGATGCCTTCTCCCGAGGGAAGGAAATAACGAAACAAAGGTACTTTTCCGTTATCTGCCACAACCAAATTTCAGGTGCTTGGTCCAGGGTTATCAGACAAAATGGCTCAAACACTGGGCAATGATGGAAAAAAAGTGGGAAAAATCTTGAATGGTAGACCGTAGATGTAAACTCTACAACTGATCAACGTGAACTGACCGTGACCGACACACATGATACATACAGTACTTGTCTACACTGAGACAGGCAGTCGGCAGACATATCCCATGGTATTACAAACTGTCTTTCTTAAGCCAATATTTTTACCAAATACAGTACAGGTTGTACCTCTCTAGTCCGGCAACCTTGGGACCTGACCGGTGCTGGACCATGGAAATTCACCCTTTTCCTGAATAGATAGTGACTTGTGCTTATGCCTGGAAGCACTAGCACCACTTTCTCTTCGTCATGGTCTCTTTGAAGACATATTGAAGGGTTAAATGTCGTATAGTAGCTTCTCAAATTTCGCGAGTTTTTAATTCTTAACGTATTTTATTGGAACACAAAAAAATAAATAAATAAAAATTTTGACGGCGGAAACTTGAATTTCGACGTGTTTGAACGGCCTGCCAACGTGCAGACGACGTGCATAATCTTGTAAACAGCGTCATTTCTCTTATGTACAAAAGATTCATTATTGTTTATTACTGAATGTCTTTTTTATTGAATTAATGTTTATGTGTGCAAAATGAGCAATACAATTCATTAATAATACGTAGAATATTAAAACACACGGGGAAATGACACAGCATTGTTTTCGTTGATTACAAAACCAGTGACTGACTGGTTCTACATATAAAACTGAAGAAAATAAGACCTTGGTTGTAGCTGTAGTAAAATGAATATGGTTGTTTTAAGTAGTGTTATTTAATGTTAATAAATGGAACAATAGAAGTAGCTAACGACAATGGTGAAGAAAAAGAGAGATCGCATATGTAAGTGCGCATGCGCACACGTGAAAACATATCGTCATTACTTTACATAAGAATATGAAAGCAACACTTATTTACTGTTCATATATATTTTAATTAATGTTTCTGAATTTGTTTTTATTGAATTAATGTACGTGTGTGCAAAATTAACAATACAATTTATTAATAATACGTGGAATATTAGAGGAGACGAGACGGCTGCCGGCATTGTTTATGTTAAAGCTTACGAAACCAGTGACTGATTGGTTCTACATATAAAACTGAAGAAAATAAGACCCTGAGTTTAGCTGTAATAAAATTAATGTAAAAAATGAATATGGTTGCTTGAAGTACCTGTAATGTTATTTAATGTTAATAAATGGAACAATATAAGTAGCTAACCATTAATGGTAAAAAAAAAGTGAGACTGCTCGTATGTAAGTGCGCACATGTGAAAATATATCGTCATTACTCTACATAAGAATATGAAAGCAACACTTATTTACTGCTCATATATATTGAAGGGTTAAATGTTGTACTCTGTATAGACAAGCAGAGAGAGAGAGAGAGCAGCCGAACTGCCGGATGTAAACAAACCTTAATTTCCCGCGGCTTTTTTTTTTTTTTTTTTAAGGGGATTAGCCCACCCGGGCATAGGTCACTGACCCACATTGGGGCCTGAGGGGCAAAAATTTAATACTCCTGTAATAATAATAATAATTCAGATAAGTAAAAAAAAAAAAAAAAAAGCTGCCTATCTACCTATTGGACAAACTAAAATCGTTCCGGACCACGGGAGTTTCCGGACCACAGAATGCCGGACTAGAGAGGTACAACCTGTATAACAAAAATTTTAATATATATTTTGTAATATAGTACAGTACATCATGCCCTTAAAATTCGCGGGGGTTTGGGTCTCAAAATGGCAGCGAATAGCCAAATCCGTGAATATCATCTGTTGACCAGGGGAAGAGTGGTGTTACATTTTTACTCATGTGCAAAGAAATGTATATTCCCTTATGTGTTTGCCCTTAGGACAATTATTTCTTTTAACTGCATATATATATATATATATATATATATATATATATATATATATATATATATATATATATATATATATATATATATATATATATATATATATATATATATATATATATATATATATATATATATATATATATATATATATATATATATGCACACATACACACACACATATATATAAATAATAATGGGAAAATCCTCTTACAAATAATCATAAACAAGACAACAAATGCATTGAAATGTAGAAAAAATGTGAGTCTACCCACAAGTGAACTCTGTGCTTTGTTATTAAAGTTGAATTGGTTGGGTTGCCATACGGCAATTTTTTCATTGTAAAAATTACTGTCTCTAGAACGATTGGCTCCCTGTCCCAACTGCGTAAATACTGGCAACTTTAAAACTACCCGCAGACATTCTTGGGTGCATCCGAGGTGTCATTCGCGAATTAAAAATCCCTGAATTGTCAGAGCACGCTGTATTTCAAAATGTCTCGGTGAGTATTTCGAAATTTTACCAAATATTAAAAAATTTTAATACATTTCGTAACAGCAAAATAATACGAATTATAAGTGTTTTCAAATTTGAGGGATATGAATTTTTTATTTATTTATTTATTTTTTTTTTTTTTGTACAGTACACACTTGCCATTTGCGGGTTTTCGATTCGCGATTTCAACGATTCGCAGTAAACAGATGGTGGCTATGGAGGCTGTCTTGCGAGCCTCTTTCCACAGCGCAACGAGTCACCCCATGCGCCCGCAGCGTCTCCTCTCCCTCTGTTCGCGCTCAACCACTGCCTGTGACACAGCATCTTGTGTTGTACTCTCAAAACTTTAGTGTTTCTGTGTGAAATGGACCCTAAAAGACTGCCTAGTGTCAGTGCTAGTGATGCTAGTGGAGTGAAATGTAAAAGGCAGAAGTCAGTGATGACCCTGACAAAGAAAGTTGAATTTTTAGATAAGTTCAAGGAGGGGATGAGTGCTGCCGAGGTTAGCCAGTTGTTTGGTATAGGTATACTGTACAGTAGTGTGTGTGTGTGTGTGTGTGTGTGTGTGTGTGTGTGTGTGCATGTGCGCACAGAGTGATGTAATGTATCAAGTGTGGCAGCATTATGTCAGTGTTAATGTGCAATCACTGCTTGTTTCCTCTCGCTTTCAGCTACAGCCGCTGGCTAGCCCTCGTGGAGAACAGGGAAGCAACTTGCATAAGTCTTCCCCTGCCAGTACACAGCCTCTTCACCATCATGACTCCTGCTGTGCCTCCTCATGGCAACACACAGTAACTGGGTGCCTCGTGGGCCCAAGCTAGACCAGCAGGGGATCTCGGAGTAGCAGTGGGCCCCAGAGGGACGGTGCATAGGCCCACTGGCAAGTGGACACATCCTGGAGGCTACGAACCACTGCCCCGCTGCCTTGCAAATTAACCTTGGTAGTTATAAGGATACAGGACTGAACCCTGAATGAAAAATATGCGGTGAAGCCACAAATCAGGCAGACATGCTTACAGAGCTCCAACAAGACCCCAACGGCAGTATAGGTGACCACCATGGGAACCCAACGACTACACAGGTGAAGAAAGGCAATTCATGATGGACGGGCTAAAACATAACCCAACAAACTGGGCTATTGGCAATCCATTACAACTCTCCCTGTCCCCAGTCATTGCAACACTTGCACCACTGGATCATGAAAAGAGAAAGCCAAGATGTGTTGTTGTAGCCTGCGCTCCTACATCACCACATAAATCAACACACGTGCAGCCATCATCCAGCTCATCGTACTTCGGTCTTTCTACAAAGATGCGCAACGAGAAGGTGATGAAGAAGCGTAAAAGAGAGCCATAATTGAGATGGTAGCAAGGCTCCTGCTCTACCTCCTCATGGCAATACACGGTAACTGGGTGCCTCGTGGGCCCAGGCTAGACCAGCAAGGGATCTCGGAGTAGCAGTATGCCCAGAGGGATGGCACATAGGCCCACTGGCATGTGGACACGTTCTGGTGCCTACCAGCCATTACCCGGCTGCCTTACGGATTAACCTTGGTTGGTATAAGGCCACGGGAGTAAACCCCGAATAAAAATTCTGTGGTGGACCCCCGCATCAGACAGATATGCTTACAGAGCTCCAACAAGCCTCCAACGGCGGTATAGGCGGAAGAGGTGACCACCGTGGAAACCGAACGACTACACTGGAGGACGAAAACAATGCCTAATGGACAGGCTACTAAGGCGAAACCCAACAAACTGGGCTATCGGCAGTCCATTGCAACTGTCCCTCACCCCAGTCGTTGCAACACTTGCACCACTAGATCAGGAAAAGGGAGAGCCAAGATGTGTGGTTGCAGCCTGCACTCCTGCCTCACCACATATATCAACTCAGGCACAGCCATCACCCAGTCCACCATACCTGTCATCATCATCAAAACACTTATACCCCCAAAAGTACAATGGCGACGGAGACAGGCAGAGATGACTGCCGGGAGTCTCTAATCATAACTGTAGTTATATGAGACGAATATGGCTGTAATATGTAACTCTGTACTATTTACCATTATTGATTCAGGTCTCTGTATTATATGTTTTATAATCATACTCCCTTTTGTCACCA